TCTGAGAGCATGTGCTGCTAGAATGGTCTATAAAAACCATAAATCAAGCAAGAAAGCTAGCAAGCTAGCTTTATCGCTAGTAGCTAGGTGTCAGGGGCCAGGGCCAGCAAGCAGAGTTACCAGGACCAGGGCAATAGAACCCAAAGCGATACAGAGTTCAAAGTCAAATAGCAAGGTTCAATAGCAAGTCCAAGTCACAGAACAAGCCAAGGACAAGAACCTGAAATATGTATCAGGGCAAGACAAGGATGCAGTCATAAACAAGCCAAGGGAAGAGAACCAGGTGCAGGTACCTTGAGGCAGGATAACTGTGAAGGGTTCAGGAGCAGCAAAAGTGTGGCAAGCAAGGCGAGGTAGCAAAGTGGTGAGGTGAGGCATGGCCAGGCATAATGGTGCAGTAAGGCATAGCACAGCAATGCAGCAAGGCAGGATACACAGCAAGGGTCAGGCAAGATGCAGCTAACAGGAAAACCTGCATGGCTGAAGCAACATAGCAAGGCAGGCGCTGGGTCAGGCAAGATGCAGGCACTACAGCAAACAAGATGACCTGTGTTGGTGAGGCAGCCAATGGAGAGATGCACTTGCTCCTATATAGTTCTTCCTCCTACACAACTCTTTCTTCAGGGCTCCCAACTGGGAGACAGAGAACTCCAGCGGGGCCTGGGACTGATCCTGCAAATAATCAAATGGGTGTTCTGGTTCTGGCCACTAGATGGAGCCCTATCACTTGGGAGGGATTTTAACCTTTCAGAATAGGAGGGAAAATACACAAAAGCTGGAAAGCTAAATGTTTTGTGGCCAAAAGAAAAGGGTGCTCAGGGAAATTGGATTGGGCCCTCAGGTCTACTGAACCTGCTGGGTGCTTAAAGGTTTGTTCCTATAACATCTAGAAACGAGAAGACGAGTTCTGAAGCCAATCAGATTTGCTGAGTCACAGCTAATGAATGCTAAATAGAAGGCAAGCTGAAGAGAAAAGTCAGGGTGCAACCCTACGCATGTTTGGACAGAATAAAAGACCTGCAAACTCTCAGCATGCCCCAGTCAGCCATGCTGGCTGAGGCATACTGGGAATGGTAGGTTTTTTCTGTGTAAACATGCATAGGAGTGAACCTTCATCTAAGTTTTGAGTCCCTTTTCGTTCATTTTTGAAAGTGGTATCTTGAGAAAATGGCTTTCCTGCTCAGTTGCGTGTGCTTAGTATGCCTACTTCCCTCATTCATATCTTGCTTTCTGGGCTCTTTACCCTGGTATTTATTCTCTGCTCCACAGTCTGCCAGCCATCAGAACTCTGCCAAGCAGAACTGAATGATTACATCCATGCCCTACATAGAGTGTTTCTGAAAAAGTAGCCAAATTGGATGACTCCTTCAATAGCAAATAGTATGTCCCCTGGATACTTCACTGTTTTCAGCAGAGCTCTGTATAAGACCTGCACCCATAGGCATAGATCCAATGGTGCCATTTTGCTGACCGCGAACCACCTGCCACCTTCTCTCATTCCTTCCCATACAGATCCTCAAAATCCCCTCCAGAGATTGGGAAAACCTTCCAGAGCAGATTTTCAGGCAGCATGCAAGAGGACAGAGGGAGCAATTCTTGCTGCAAGAGTGGACATGTGCTGGCATGATGCTGAATTTAATACATTGTTCTGATCATTTTCAAAGTACCCAGGCCACCAAAATTAAAGAAATTACTTCTGGGATGATTGGAATTCATTAGGATTCCTCTAGCTTAGATCTGTTATAAAGGATCAGTTTGTAAATGGGCTACAGCCCAATCCAGAACAGGTTAACCTGGAAGCAAGTCCCAACTTCAACAGGGTTCTCTAGCAGGTGCTCAGGACTGCCAATCTCATGTCACAGTGATCTCAGACATGACCATGTTCGTATCTCTTGGCCAAAGCCTAGTCTATAGTTAATATTGTAAAGATAAGCAGAAACCATTACACCAGTCCATTCTGTCGTAAGGAACAACCAGCTTCGACATAAAAGTGAGTCAAAAATATAAGTAACACCAAAAACAAATAGCAGGGGAAGGAGGCAACAAACATGGATCAGACAGACTGATGTGCAAATCAAGGCAACGTTAACAGATGTATATACCAAGAAGCACCAGCATTGGTCCCCCAGTTCTGCAGGACTTTCCCCTGAATTACCCTTTAAGTTTTGTCTTCCTGGCCCTGTTGTTTTCACTTAAACCCTTCATCCCCTTACCAGTCAACTGCATGTCCTTACCTTTCTTCCCAGCAGAGGTTGGCAGAGCTATTTCCTTCCCTGCAAACCCTCCTAAACTCAACGGCTTGAGCTGACTGGGCCTCCCCGTAGTTGTGTGCCTGCCTAAAGTAGCAATACGGCTGCTTGCTTTTGGAACTGGGAGCTGGCTTGCAAGTGCAGACACGGCAGTGCGCCGGGTTTGACTCTGGAGAGAGCTGCTTTGAGGCTTGGAGCTGGCTTGGGATGGAAGGCTGCTGCCTCCCGGAGCTTTATTCTGACCTGTGAAGAAAGAGGGAAAGCTTCTTGAAGGCGCCTGAAATGTTCCAAACGAACAAACCTGCAGAAGGATTTTTTTGTTTTGCCCCAAACCAACTATCTAGAATTTCCTGAAGGTGTAAACAGGTTGAAGTGACCAATATATGGATTTTCAATATATCCATAATATATGGATTTTCAAAAACATTTTGGAAGCTCCGCCAAAAAGCTCCTTTGCCCCTACAGAAAGCTCAGCAGGCATGAAATAAGAAACTAAATCCTCTCACATAGTAGCCAGCAGTCATTTTAAGAATGTTTTCACAATGAAAAGAAAAAGAGTGCAAGGCCTCCTCAAGGGTCTGCAGTGAGATAAATGCCATTTACCTACTTGCAAATGTCTGAGTCAGAGGTAAATGGTGCTACAGCAATGTATGGCGAGGAGACTGACTTATTCAGGGTGGTGACCTCTGAGAAAACCTTGGAGAGCCCCAAAAGAACCTATCCACACTACATGACTGCCACTATGTGTGGCAGAAACACACAACGAAGTGATGCATATTCTTGCAGCAAACTTCATTTCTTCTATATCATAATATGATCTAAATTAGCTGTGCCAATCAAGAAAGAAACCTTTGATGTACTAGTAAAATCCCACAGAAAATAAAATTTTAAAATCATTGACAAACATTACTGAGAATAGTATTAAAAGAGCAATATCAATGCCATCAATTTATATAATGGCTGGCAGATATTTCAAATATTGTGTGCAGTTTTGCTGAGCTCCTCACAAAAGGAACTAGAAAAGAGCTCAAGGAGAGTTTTGCTTACAAAGAAAGCTGTGCAAGGGTTGAAGTTTTTAAGTTAGAGAAGGAGAAAACATTTAAAAAATTGTGAAGTTTGCCTTCAGTGTGGAGTGAATAAATGGAGAGAAACTATTCTATCTCAGAACTAACTCTACAGGATGCAGAAAATAATCTAATGGCAATATTATGGCAGAAAATCTGAAAGGTAATGGTAGTAGTAACATATCACCAATATAATTCCTTGTAAGATGTAAGGGTCATTTTTTAGGTGTACTTTTGAGAAAGGATCGAACAAGTGAATGGCAAACAGGATTTCCCTCTCCAAATGCGAAGGGTGCTTCCAGATGCAACTGTTACAGCACCATCACCCTGCCCCCCCTCCATAGAATTTTATAGATGGAGTGGGGTCCAGATGACAGAATCTTCAACTTGCAGCCCTCCTGTGTTTTCCCACTGCTTCTTCCATCTTTTCTCTCACCGCAGAAAATCTGTTAAGAAAGAAAAGATGGACTCGCTGCACAATGGCTTCTCTTTGGTAGTCCTGAGAGCTCTCCATGTGGAAGCATCCTAAGTCAAGAAGAGAGGCAGATTTAGCCCTTTATATTCAGACCTATAATTACCAGGTACCTACCCTGCCGAAAAAAGTGCGTATAGTCAAGGCTATGGTTTTCCCTGTTGCAATGTATGGCTGTGAAAGTTGGACCATAAAAGAAGGCTGAGCACCAAAAAATTGAGGCCTTTGAATTGTGGTGCTGGAGGAGACTCCTGCGAGTCCCTTGGACAGCAAGGCAATCAAACTGGTCAGTCCTAGAGATCAACCCTGACTGCTCCTTAGAAGGCCAGATACTGAAGATGAAACTCAAATACTTTGGCCACCTAATGAGAAGGAAGGACTCCCTGGAGAAGAGCCTAATGCTGGGAACAATAGATGGCAAAAGGAGGAGGGGGATGGCAGAGAATGAGGTGGCTAGATGGAGTCACTGAAGCAGTCGGTGTGAGCCTAGATGGACTCTGGGGGATGGTGGAGGACAGGAAGGCCTGGAGGAAAGTTGTCCATGGGGTTGCGATGGGTCGGACATGACTTCGCGACTAGCAACAACAAAATGTAAGCCAATATGACAGCCTTCCCAACCCGTGTTGACTGTAGGTTCCATCGTTCCTAACCAGCATGCTCATGTTGGGAACTGCAGTCCAACACAAATAGAAAGCACTAGGTTGAGGAAGGTGATGATGCCTGCAACAGAGTGGATTTTCTGTCTGTGTAAGCACAGCCTTTTTTACATCAGGTTCGTGTGCTTCAGCAGCTTCCTCTCATGCACTGATCTTTTGGGGAATGGCGAGGGAGATAATATGCTAATAATACACTGTCTCCAGCAACTTACTTGTGCTTGCCTTCCGTGGAGGTATCAGCTTTCCTGGAGCAGCAGGGGATTTCTTTGCAGTAGTGTTCTGCAATGGACCCAGCCTGGGACCCAGCTTTCCTCTCGTGTATGCAACTGGTACCACGCTTCTGCTGGATACATTCTGAAGGCTCAACTAATGTGGTGGATTGAAACAGAAAAACAAACCATACACCTTAGTTCTAGGATATCTCAAAAGCAAACAGTGCTTCCTAAGCAGCCACGTCTGAGGAAGGGTTGCTTAAGCCAAGCATGGTGGCATGGACAGGATCCCCCACACTCCACTGCAGTCACTGAAGTGAATTGCGCACGTTACATATTTAGAAGCCTTACTTCTCAAGTGCTTGAAAGGTAAACAATGCTGTTAGCTTGACTTCTGGGCTATTTGCACAATCTTTATACATGGTAGTACAGTACATTTTCCATTCTGCTCTTCCTACCTTGTGTTCCTCCTTAGCTGCCACTGCTGGAAATATCCGTGGGACTTCAACAGAGGCCTTGCCCGAAGCTTCCTGTGTCTTTCTCTGAAGTCCCCTCTGACTTGTTTGAGGAAGAGTCTTCAAGTGCAGCAGGGAGTCCTGAGCTTGTATGGCATGGGAAAGGGCAAGTGGAGATGATTTATCCTTCCCGCTACTTCTACTAGTTGTCTAAAGTTTAAAAAAGAGGATACACAGCTGCAGCTTTTGAAAAGCATGAGGGATGAGTCATAGAAAACCCCAGAAGCAACCTAGGAAGCAGTGGAGGTGACCCCACCCAACTTGGGGAGAAATCCTACACATGCTTAGACAGAAAAAGTCCACAGCTCCCAGCTTTCCTTAGCTAAATACTGTGCTTAATTGCCCATAAGTGACAACTAAAAATGGAGAAAAGTCGAAAGAATCACATTTTAATTAATTGTCTAAATGCCATTGGAACAAAGTTAATGAACTTATCTTAGGAGGGAGTGAAACAACTCAAAAGGCCTACTTTCTAGTAGAGGACAATATGACCCATAAATGGCAAACCAGTATCTCTCCAGATAACCAGACTTCACATATAAGGGGGATATGATATAGGAAAACTCCAATATGAACTTGGATAAATACAATCACCCCTGTGTATTTGCAGCTACAGAAACTGACACCGATAGGCCTCTATTTGAAAGTAAAACTTGTTAAGCACAGTCAGTTAAGCATGTATACATTTGCAGCCAACTTTTGAGCTCTAAAATGCAATCTGTATAGATTCCATACTGGCTGCTGTACCTTCTTACAGTTGGCTGTCATTGTCCGAATCTTGAGTGGTTGATTGGGTCTGGATTTCTTAGACAGCTGACTATCAGTTCTACAGATGTTAGATCTTTGTTGGAGCTTCCTGGAACTAAGCAGTTCTGCAGCACAGGAAACAGGACTGCCGTCCTCAGGGAAAGGAGCTTTGGAAAAAACTTGATCCGAGCAGGTTTCAGGCCCCACCAATGGCAGCAGTTCCTTCAGAGGGCTGTTGCTGACACTGAAGGTCCTTCGTCTGGGGTTCCTGGGGGTTAGCTTCTCCACTTGCAAGACACCAGTTGGGGGTAAAGGCTCAAATTCTGGAACTGTCTCAAGCCTCGTCTCAGAGCAGTCCCTCTCCAGCAGCCGACAGCTCTCCAGCTGTTCAGCCAGGAAGTTGGCTTCCTTCATGACTTCCTCAAGCTTCTCGGGACTCAGTGGGCTCCATTCGGAGGTCTGCTCTCTGAGCCCACCCACATTCTCCCCCAGCAAAATGTTCATGTCAATCTTTTTTGGCACACATCGTTCCCTGTGCTCAGCGGAGCTCCCCTGTTCTTGTCTGTGGCAGCAAAGTTGAGAATCCAACAAGAAACGGGTTAAGAAAAAGATACGGCAGTGTTGCTCAAGACACTTTTTAATGCCTTTATTATTAAAAGCCACACACAGAACTTGACTATTGGGCAGTGCACACATGTACATAGAATGTGTGGTAGGATGTAAGAAGGTGACCTTGAAAAGAGGGTTCTCATCCCACAACAGAAGTCAAAGCATCAGTTTGGGGATGAAACCTGAATAAAACACAATAATCACAAGAGTTTCAGACAGCTTGTGTTAATAAACACAAGAGTTTCAGACTGCTAGTTTTGGATTTAAAAAATTGAATTAGAAATGTATGTACATCAGGGGTGGGCAATAGGTATAATACAAAGCCCCTGTTACTCCTGATTTTAGGGGGAACATGCTACCAAGCATTACAGAGCACTAAAAAGGTCAAACCTAGCTTGCAAACAGGCCTGACCTGGCCTTTCTGGCATTCTGTAAAGCTCTAGTCTCCAACTTAAAATCATTTTTGAGGCACCCGGTGACACACAGAACTATGTTCATGTGGTTGAAATCGGCCTTCAGACCCCTGAAGTTGTCCACTCTTGATATATATAGTGTTTGGACCTCTTAACTTTAAGAATGGAGAAAAATTGAGAATTAGTTCCCATATGCATAGTGTTTATAATTATGTGGCTTTTCAATTTTGTGAAAATCAAGCAGGCCTTTCCTTTCACATATGAAAAGAATGATCTAGTGATATCCATGCGTGTGCATAAAGATATACTCTTAGAGGTTTCAGATTGCACTTCAACTGCAACTTGACACATTGTTATAATCCAGCGATTCTGAAAGATCTTGCTAACTGAATCCTAGCATTTGCTATTTACAGATTTGGTGGCTACTGTGCATTGGCATACCTGCTTCTAAAGTGGTAATTTACATTGCTAAAGATTCCATCCTTAGCCTTACCTATCAAAAGGAGAAAACAGACCAAAATCCAGGGTCTCATCAGTAATAAATTTTATATCTGGAGGGAAAAAAAGATATTACTATTATAAGTATAACCCTGACTGTCAATAGCCCTTCTGATCCAGGATTGTCACGAGTACTTTGCTACCTTGACAGTTTCATGCAGGAAAGGACACAACTAACATTCCCACAGTACAGGTGGCAATTCTCCTTTATGCAAGCTCATTCCTGGATTTCAGTAGAGCCAATTCATAACGGCTATTAAAAGCCATGAGAACTGAAGATGCTAAATCCCATGAGAACCTGTAGAAGAACAGAAAATTAAACCCATTCATCTACTCTTGATCCCATTTCCTTTAATATTAATATGTACTGAGTATGCTACACTGTGATGCTAAAGAAAACTGACTTTCTATAAGAAATAGTTTATGTAGAATTAGGCACAGCAAAGCTAAATGAAATTTATGGGCTTAGGGACATCTAATTCTGTGCAGGATCTGGCAGCAAGCTGTGCTTTAAATATTGCATGTCCTCAAAGCATCTTTATCCTCCTAAAATGCAGCATCTCTGTATAAAAAGATCTTTACAAAGAAGACAAAAAACCTGGTAAAGGAACAGGCTGTCATAGATCTTGTTAATTAATTGATCCAGCTTGGAAGTTGTACAGTCGAACCTTTAGTGGGTTTAACTTTTGTGGATTTGATTATTTGTGAATTTTCCATCAATAATTAAATGGGATTTTTTGAGTGCTGGGGCCTATTGTGGAAAATTGCAGATGATGCATGCAGAGCAGAAAAGGTTAAGAAAACTTTTAAAAAGTTTAGTAAGTCATCAGTGTGGGGTGGCATGCATGTGCCTGCACACACTGAAAGCCTGGAGTTGGCCGGGAAGCCTCATCTTCCACACCGTTCCCCTGGCCTGGCCTGGCCTGGCCTGGCCTGGCCTGGCCTGGCCGCCACTGCCCCTCCTGCAGTCTGCCACCTGCATCCCAGCACCCGCCCGCCAGCCAGTGTATGTATCAAGAATGCAGGCTAACTCTCTCTCTCTCTCTCTCTCTCTCTCTCTCTCTCTCTCTCTCTCTCTCTCTCTCTCTCTCTCTCTCTCTCTCTCTCTCTCACACACACACACACACACACACACACACACACACACACACACACAGAGGGAAGGAGGGAGAAGCAATCCAGTAAACATTCAGCCAACAGCGTTAAGAGCTAAGGTTGTGGGGAAGCTAGAGATATTTGCGTTTTTTCCACTTTCAGGGGGTCCGGTGCCCGAACCATGTGAATGTGGATGGCCAATTGTTTTGTGATACATGATGCACACAAACCCTCCTGATAATCCAGAACTCACCTTCATTTGACAACTCCATGATGAACCATCAAAGCAAACCATTAAATAACTGTATGAAATATAAAACAGTTAAATACATCCTGAATATAAAGTGATACATACTTTACAATCATTCAAATTACTAAAAAGACCCAAAACATGTAGCAACATAATTCTATGGTACAACAGCACATAGCACTGTGTTCAGTCTAATTCACACATTCTCAAGCCTTTCATTATTTTTCAGGATGATGATGATGATGATGATGGCTCAGCCATGGTTTCCAACTCAGGGTTGGCTGTCCAGCATCCCAGATTTCCTTGTTCAGATTTCATGACAAGCAACCAAGAGACAAAGCAACCTTGGCTTGCTTAACTGCAGCAGCAGTGATCTCACACATTTAAAACCCACAGGGAGATGTGCAACTCCAGCCAATTAGTCTACTCAAAGCATGACTAAGCCTGGATACAACCTGGATCTGTATGACAGTAATTATGCTATACTGAGGGCAAACATTTCTGAAATTTACTATAGTCTCCCTTACGTTCTTCAATCCAAATAACTAGTTGCCAGTATATGATCAATGGAAGAACAGACATGTTTTGCTGCGGTGTAACCTGAGATCTCTTTGCAGGAGCCGTTTTTGCAAAGCACCTCCCATTCTTAAGACTGTTACCCATTGCAAAAGCCCCCACCCCTTTTTCTTTGTTTGAAGCTGAAGACGACCTCCAAGGAATTCCAAAGCATCCTCATTATGTTGCAACTTTTCAGATGCTCCTAAGAAAAAGTTATCATACTACTATGGTTTGGGATTTTTATTTTTTATGGAGCAATAAGGCCAACAACCTCCGCAAACCCATTCTCTTCTTGTAATACCTCCACAGTGCAGTCTCCTTTTCACCAGGGGTGAAGTAAAAAAGCAAGCATCCGGCACCGACCAGTTTATTCCAAGCTACCCTATCTATGTCCTTTCCACCTATTATGCTACATTCTCTCAGTCTTCTGGGAAGCGTGCGCCATGGTCTCTGCTTTATCCAATGCACCAAGAACAACCAGTGCGCACTTAGCGGGGAGGTGCAACGCCATCCTGTGCATGCTTCCTTGGTAAGCTCCGCTGTGCTCAACGGGGCGGCTTGCATTAGGGCTGGAGTCCTAATTAACTTCTAAGCCAGCATACTTTTAGGACTGTATTGAGCAAAGGCGATGGGCGTGTTACCTTTGGCTTAAAGCGAAGGATGATCAGAATCCCAAAATGAGTCTTCATTCCGTGCCTATGTACGTGTATGCTCAGACCTCTACACAATCGTTCAGTCCCAGCCAAGTCCAGCTCTCGCGCCGTAGCGCCATTCACACAAAACTGAAACCAACGTGCGGCATGCAATGCATTTGATTCCGCGCGCTGGGTTCCCCCACGAATCACCTTCGCATTTATAAGCGGCAAGGAAAGAGGCATGAACACATTCGAATTTTCCCCGCCTCTACGTCACAATAACATTCTACATTCCTGAACAATGATTGGTCCGAGGCTTGTGGGAACCTAACGGCCACGCCCCTTTCCTTGGCCTCACTCACGGGGGGACTCCATAGAGAGTTGCACCGGAAGTGTGCAACTGAATTTGGTTCCCTCTGTGGTTCGGTGTGTTCCCCGTGTGTGAAGCATGGCCGCGGTGCCCCCCGACACTTGGCAACCGCCTACTGTTTCTATGGAGACTACGTAAGTGAGGGAAGGTCCGTAGCTCTGGGTAAAGCTCTGCATGCAGAAAACCTGAAAGTTCAGTCCGCAGGTTCCACTGGGAATGAAGCCTAATTGCCTGGCAGCGGTTCTCCAAGTTTCGATCAAGATCCTTTCCCAAATCGAGCAAAGGATTGAACTTTTGATTTTCTGCATTCAAAGCTTCTGTTTCCAGACAGTGAGCTGGATATACCAGTGGTCTTACTCAGTTTTAGCTGTTCCCCGAAGGACTGAAGACGGGTGGGTTTACGTCCCCTGGGGAGACTCAAGACTGTTCCGTCGGATCTTCGCGGTTGTTGGCTTAACGTTCCTGCTATTCTTGACACCGTTCACAGTAGCTTTTCCACAAACTACTCTGGAACCGTTGCAGTAGTGAAAGGGCTTTAGGATGTTGTCTCTTTTTTCCGGAGGAGCACCTGCCCTTTTAAAATTTCCATGATAGACAAGTTCAGTATGTGCAGCTTTTTCGGTTATACAAGTAGAGTGGCTCTGTTCAGGCATTAATCAAAAAAGCTTAAATGAACATGCAAGTGGGGATGGGTCTGTGCTTAGTAATTCTATGCACCATTTATACACAGGGGTTTCTATACAAGCGATAACCCTGTGATATTGATCTATCTGTCTATATTCCAGCAGTCATTTGTGCTATATGTGTGAATGCCTGTGAAGAAGCTGTATGGCACAAATTGTATTGGAGGTGGAATTGCCTAATCCCTGCTTGTGTGTTTAAATTTATATTGCCTGAGTAGGACTAGAGAGTAGAAATCACATGAAAAATGCAGGGGTTGAATGACAACCCTACTCCCAGTGTGTAATTTTTGTACAGTCAAATGTAGCCTATTTAAGAAGTTATGGTCAGAGAAGGCTTAAGGCTAGCATGGGTCAAGACTAGAAAATTAAGTATCAGTTTAGTTTTAGTAATTATTCCCATTTTGTAGGGTGAGGAATAACTAAAGGGCATTATTTGTACAGTTTCATTTGGGTAAGTGGAAACAAACTGAAGAATCCCCAGCTTCCTATATGAAGTTGAAGACTTCATTGCACCCCTATTAGAAGACTGGATGAATCATAGCTTGGTAGATTGGATAACATGAAGCCACCATGGATATATATTTTCATCAGTATCACTCCTTGTATCAGTCTGATAAAACAAATATGTTTGGAATTATCTGTCTGTTTTGCAGCATGGGTCTCATTGTTATGGAGCTGTACTGGAAGCATGCTCCCAAGACTTGTAAGAATTTTGCTGAACTGTCCAGACGAGGTTATTACAATGGGACAAAGTTTCATAGAATAATCAAGGATTTCATGATCCAGGGGGGTGATCCAACGGGAACGGGTAAGAACATAATTAAAACTGGTGCTTTGGATACTATGTTAAGGTGTATTGATGGATAAAGTGAAAAGATGGTGTTAGAAAGACAGTAGGTCATGCAATGCCCATTATCACCAAAAAGGCTCTTGCACATACTGTCCTTTCTGGATGAGTGGAAGTCAGAACACATCCAGCACTCCTCCTAATCAGGCCAAAATTATCTGTTATAAGATAACGCAAGATGTATTAATAGATTACTATTTCCCTCCACATTACTTCCCTGCTATCACTCTTCCCCAACCTGGTGTCCTCCAGATGTTTTTAGACTATATATCACATCTGTCCATTGGGCATGCTGGCTGGGACTAATAGAACTTGGGAGTCCAAAATATCTGAAGGTTACAACATCAAGAGAGGCTACCCCAAAGTATCTATTGCTAGACAAATTTAAATACAGGTACTGATTGTTAGTACAGTAAAGGGACTTCAGAAACAAAAAAGATATTAGCATTTCAGATTCACAGGAAACAATGAATATGCCTCTGTCTCCGTCATGGCCCTGCAGATTAGTCTTTAATTCTCTTATATGGCAGGAAGAGGAGGAGCGTCCATCTATGGGAAGCAATTTGAAGATGAACTGCACACAGAGCTAAAGTTTACAGGTAAGTATTACTTTAAGGGCTGCTTTAAAACCTCTAGGCAAAACTGTTCATCTATCATATAACTATCATATAAGGTTATATAAGGTTATATAACTATCATATAACTATCATATAAGGATAGGAGTTTCCAGGCGGAGATGCAAAATTGTTTCAATATAACAGGTCCAGAAGCTAAAACATTTGCCTGGATATTACAATAGTAAAAACTGGCTTCTAAAATTTAATTGTATACAATCAGTCATGCGTTCTTGGGTTTCTTTTAAAGAAAAATTTGCCTTTACACTATATTTTTTCCATGCAGTTATTGATGGCAATATTCTTCATAGCAAGGCCAGAAAGCAGTTAATGAGATTTCAATGAGATTTTTACAGTCTATTCCCATATCTCTCCTGTAAGAATTAAGCTTGTAAGACATCCCTGTATCTTATTTCTCCTCTAGCAGACCACTAGTGGGGGACTTCATCCAAATGTTTTTTTCTGAGGAGCATGAGCAGCTGGCAGTTCATATAAATTGCTGTGTATAAGCAGTGAGGAAGGGAGTGACTAATGGATATGAGTGTGCAAGCCACCTCTAGTCCATGGCTAGTCTTACAGTACCTAAATGGGACGTCCACGGATAACTTTTAAGAACTGGTATAACATAAAAGTCCAGCAGGATGTTATCATTTGTTTGTATTTTAGATAAAACTATCTTGGGAGTCTTAAATTATTAACCTAGTACTTTTTCTTTAAGGTGCAGGAATCCTTGCTATGGCAAATGCAGGTCCGGATACGAATGGCAGCCAGTTCTTCATTACATTAGCACCAACCCAGTGGCTTGATGGGAAGCACACTATATTTGGTCGTGTTTGCCAAGGAATTGGAATAGTGAACAGAGTGGGCATGGTAGAAACCAACGCACAAGATCGACCAGTGGATGATGTGAAGCTCTTGAAGGTTTACCCATCAGGCTAGACTAGAATTGTTAAATTCTTATCTAATACAGCTGTATTTCATCGAGTGTATTTGTTTTGTTCCAAGAGATACTAGCCAGTTACATGGGTGCAGAATGATCCTAAAATTCATCATTAACCTTTTTCTTAAAGCTGAATTTATCTAGAAAAGTTTTTAAGTTATTTGATGAGGGAAGACAGCACCAGATTGTGGTAGTGCTGCTTTTGTAAGCTTAATGTTGTGCCCCATCAAAGCTTTAACTAGAACTTAGCATTCAGTGTCTATCATAAATGGACAAAGTTCCTTAAATGTTCTAGAAGAAACCTGGTAACATCTAATAATTTATAAGTGAGCAGAACTGCTTGCTAATTTGGTGACTACATGGGCTTCAAGGCAATGTTTGAGTGTGTCTTACATTCCCAAGTGAAAAGTAAATTGATTTGTTGGAAATATTTTAAGATTTGATAATGGCTTAAACATATAGATAATTTAATGTCATGCCAAGGGATACATCAAAGATGCTACTGAGCCAGCACTCTTCACTGACACAAAACTACTTTTTTTAAATCTTAAAGTAATTATTGAGGATAGTGCTCACCAGTGCTGAAGTTTGCTTTATTAAGTTTTATAATGACAATAAATTGTTCATATATGGAGGAGATTCCTGTTGCTGTGTCCTGTGAATATTTAGGATTCTCTGAATATGTTTACTATACCTGAAGTATTTCATAGTTGGTATGTTCTCTTGTACATATCCTTTTTATCAGAAAACTCCTTGTAACAAATCTTCATTCTCGTCTCTTAACGTTGAATAGAGCTTTCAGCTAGGAATATGTATATGAAGAAACAAGGTTCAGAATGTAATTGGGAGAACTACGTAAACCAGTCAGTTGCCAAGAGGGAGAAATTTTCATTCACTTTGAAGGCATTTTTAAAAGCCAGACAGGCAGATCAAAGCCATCTGTGAGGCTCAGTTCCTCCTGGAACTTAAGTCCTCCTGGGCTTATGTCACAGCACAGGTTCTGTAACACCTTGATGTTCCTAAAGACTAGCAACTAAGGCTCCTTTCCTCCTGTTAGAGCTTTTCAGGGCCATCCCAAGCTATTTTGGCACCCAGAGTGTGAGGTACAGTTTTGGCACAGAACCTCGTGCCACCACTCTTAGCTCCTGAACAGCATAAAATGGGTTGCTGAGTTGGGGAACACTTGTATCCTGAGATACCAATTTCTACTATTTCACATTGCTCTAGCATTGCAACCTTTATTGGTGTTGCTGTACTGTAAGGTGCTTTAAATATTTATTTGGAACACAGTATATGTAACCTTCAAACAACTAAAGATAGGCCCCAGTTTGGAGTTGCCATGGTTTGAGCATGTGTTTCAAATAAATAGCCAACAATGAACAAATCCTGGTTAGAAGTCACCATGACTTAAGTAATCTACCTCAAATCCACAGAAAAAACCCTCTTTACAGTATGCCAACAGAATTATTATTAACTATTTAAAGAAATCCAGCATCTCTCTCTTTTTGCACTGGGGAAGTGCTTTAGAATCACAGAAAAATCTATCATTGGCAAGGTCACTTTCAGTCGAAAGCACCACAAGCCCTACTGGCCTGTCTTGAAACATTGAAGAAGGGAGTTTCTTCAAGCTTAAAGCTCTGAAAAGTTTATCTCACCAGAAGCAACTGGGATAAACTAACTCAGAAGTATGCAGAGTGCAGTGGCAACACTGGGAGGGGAATCATACCTGACTACATATGGCAGTGTTTGAGTGGTTGTTGTGCTGGTTTTCACACTGGCAACTCAGGGTTCTCTTCATAGCTGCAACCCATCTATACCTCTAAGCTTTAGGTTTTCCTCAGTAAGACATTCTTCCCAATACATACAGTACTTCTTCTCTGAGAACTTTTCCAGTTTCTTGCTGTTGTCTAAGAATTGAAACTATTTACTGTGCTGTATTCCCCAACACAGTATTGAAGAAACTTATATGGAATTGAACTTTAGGGCCGTAATAGATTCGGCTCTTCCCTCGTAGCTGAACAGCCCCTGCTCCCAAACACACAGGACCTGTACAGGGAAAATATTGGACCAACTCCCATTTCTGTTCCCTGCCCTGTTGCATCTCTACAGCTTGCTGGAAACCTTCCCCACTGTGATATTGTTTCAAAAGGAACGTTTTTATCTTTTCTAATGCATCAGCACCTTTTGAAAGTATGTAGAAGATCAATGCCTGGTGCTACAGCTCTTCAAAGAGAATGAAACAGTTGATTGTGGGGGTGGTGCTTTTGTATGCTTAATTTTGTGTCCCACTAGTGTGTTAACTAGAATTTGGCTAGTGGATGACTGAAGGAAAATGATCTGTCTTCACGCTAAATATGCTGGTGAGAAAATGGCTTCTGCAAAATTAACTATGGGAAGTCACCGACCAGGAATTGCCTAGGGTGTGTCTAACTCAGCTTCCCTCCCATCTGTGTAGCTGTGGCCAGTGCCTGCCAGGCCGGCAGTTCCACCAGCGCTGTGCCATGTCATGTCTGGGATGCGCAGTTGCACACATTACATGGAGGATGGGGCAAGGGACACATGCTGGATGCTTCAGCTCTGCAGGGCACAGGGCCACTGTTCCCTTGGCCTGCTCTTCATGATGGTGCTGAGCTTGTAGGCCGGGGGTTCTTCTGTGAAAATATGATGATGCATGCCATAGTGATATGGCAAGCACTAACTTAGAGATAGGCCACCTGGTGTCCTCCAGATATGTTGGACTACATCCCTGATCATTGGCTGGGGTTGATGGGAGTTATAATCCAAAACATCTGAAGGGCACCAAGGTGTTTATGCCTGCATCAAAGAAAGGCAAGTCTTGGTCTTGCATGTCTCTAAAAATGCATTTGGCAGATCATAGAACTCTCTTATATACTAGGTTCAAACCTAAAAGACTATAAATGATCATTCTTTTGCTAATGATAAGACTCAGCATGCCTTATTGGTATCCATTTGTGTTATTGCTAAATGATGTGGAAAATACAATGGAAGTGTTTATCAAAAAGGAAAAAGACTGGTGGTCGTGCATCGTTAGCTTGCAAAGAAGGATTTCATCAATATTAATTACCGATTTATACCAGCATTGATGCATGCAGTCTAATCTTGCATTCCCCAAGGTTCTTGGCTATGCAGTCTTCTGATACCGTATATAAATACAGTGTCTTACACAAGTGTGACTGCTGCTTTTTTCGTTTGATGATTCCAGTGCTACTAAATTTCTTTTGAATATTTTTAATTAAAGAAAATGTTTTGTAACTACTTATCTCTCTCTACCCTTTTTGCCTCCAATGTGTCGTTATTTGCATTTGATTCCATTTCTGACTGCTCCATCACCTGGAAAATTCTTAAGAATAAATGCTCTCCTGTCACCTTTTCTCCCTACACCTGTTTTTCTTCAGTGTAGGAACCTGAAAAGTACAACACTATTTTAGAACCCTGAAAAGAATAGAACTGTGAATAATCAGAAATTTAATGAGAGTTTGCCAGAGTGAGGTTTTCCTCTGCAGAAACGTGTAGAGGGCAATGAGAATGGTGAAAAGGGGGGCAAAGCTGGTTCATTCATCCCTGTCCTCTTTCCTTGCATGTAGACCTTTCACATGAGACATAAACCCTATTCAAAGCATTCTTTTCATGTGTAAAGATTTCAAGTGGAGCCTTTGGTCCTTTAATTCTCTGATAGTTATAACCTGTTGTACAACTGGGATTAAGTCACACTGAATTTAGTAGGACCTCCATCTGAGTAAGCATTTTTTAGGATGCAGCTATACGTTATTTAGGAAAATGTCTAATTCCCTTCATTGTAGCTGCATCTTGCCTTGCCTCATCATTTAATGTGAGGTCCAAATGGCCGAGTTCAACATTCTGTACCAATGATGGTCATTTCATAATTATGTAAAAAAGATGCAAAGTATCCCTGAGGAGTTCTTGTGGGATTACTGGCAACTCTTACCCTAACATGTTGGTGACTTGGGCCTTGCCCTGGATGGGGTTGCACTCCCTCTAAAGGACAGGGACCGCAGCTTGGGAGTGCTTCTCAACCCGGAGCTGTCCTTGGAAGCTCAAGTGACACTGGTGGGGAGGAGCGCTTTCCTTCAGCTTTGGCCAATCCATCAGCTGTGTCCCTACCTGGAGGAAGATTGCCTAGCAACAGTAACACATGCATTGGTTACTTCCCGGTTGGATTTCTGTAACGTGCTTTACATGGGGCTGCCCTTGAAGACAGTCTGGATACTTCACATGGTTCAAAAAAGAGCTGCCAGGATGCTGTCAGGGACTGGGCGTTATTCTCATATAACCCCAGTCCTCTATCAGCTCCATTGGCTTCCCATCAAAGTCTGCGCTCAATTCAAGGTGCTGGTTATTACCTATAAAGCCCTTAATGGCTTGGGACCTGGATACCTAAAGGAACGCCTTCTTCCCTATTTGCCCTCCTGCCCCCTGAGATCGGCAGCAGAAGCCCTCCTCTGGGAACCCTCTGTGAAAGACATTAGAAAACAGAGTACCCGGAGGAGGGCTTTCTCTGTGGTGGTGCCCCATCTATGGAATGTGCTCCCCAGAGAGGACTGCCTGGCACCATCATTATATGTTTTTCAGTGCCAGGTTAAGACCTTTTTATTTAATCAATATTTTAATAAGTTTTAATATTGAATTTTATTACCGTATTTTAATTTGCAGCCAGAGTGGGCTGCCAATTTATTATTTATGTACTTCGGAATTTTATTTGTGTAAGCCGTCCTGAGGCTCTTGCAAAGGATGGCATACAAATATCTTAAACAAACACACGTGAGTAGATGTCCAAAGCCACAATAGCTGTTGGCACTGCTGCCAGTCTCAGCTGAGACTGCTTGCTCAGCCATCTCTGCTAAAATCGTCAACATCCTCTCACCATGCCCTGCTCAGCCAAGCTCCCTTCCATCTGCTGCCACCACTGAGAAACTGCAACACAAGACTAGGGTGGGGGATGAGCAGAGTGGCTCTGGCCCCCCAGCCTAGCCTTCTCTGCTGTCCCTGCAAGTCCCAAATGGTAGGTAGGGGGGATGGGGATGAACCCAGTTGCTGCCAGTGCCAATAGAGCGTGTTTGCATCAGCAAAAGTTCAGGGCACTTGTCTCTGACAACTGTGCCCAAATGCCACTGGGGCATTTTGGGGTGGCTGTCATCAGCTATCACTCTCCTGAAGCCACTTGGCTAGAGCAGCAAATATTTCTTGCCACTATAACCAAGCAGCTCTGCAAAGATTTGGATTAGCCCCGAGTTTGAAATGTCCTCTGAAATGGGAAGATGCAGCAACCCCAAGGGAGCATACTAAATCCTACAGCAAGCCATGACCTGTCAGGATGGATTGCAAGCCCAGACTCTGGGTTTCTAAACCACCCAAATAAGCCATAAGTTCTCCCAACATGACAAGCTCCCTCTGGCTTAGAGGTCCCCCTCCCTTCTGTACCTGCATACTCACCCTCCCCTCCGCCCTTCATCTTGGAAGGGAAGAGGAAGGGAAGGGATATGCCACTGTTGCCACTCTGCTAGCCTTCCAGCTTCAAAATACTCAGGGTATTTCCAGTTACTTGTTTCTCATTTGCTTCCCTTTGTCAATCATTCTGGGCCATTTACAAACAATTGCTCTAACAAATAAAGGTTCCCCAACCGCTGTAATATTTTGTTCTCAGCTTCCATGCTCTACAGTGTTTTTTTTTTTTTCAACAACCCCCCACCCCCGCATTTCATGGCATTTTGACACCTTTAGTCAGCCTGTAGGGGGCAGCGATATCCCACAGCTGTTTCTCTTAAGTAGAATGGAAATAAATCACTGAAGAATTTGCCAGTGACCATTATGTGGAGCTAGCGCCCTGGATGTTTGTGCCCAGACAGTAGGAACTGATGTGCAGTAGGATCATTCTGAATTATTCAGGGTTAAAGCAGTTAAATGGTTAAATGAGGCAGGCTTCACACTTAGAAAGGTATAGGCAGAAATGGCCAGGTTGCAGGTGCCTCAGCACTGTTGCATAATCAAAAGCTTCTTAGATGTTTTCTCAGTGTGTATCCTAAAATTTCCAATTACTTTTTTTTGTAAATCAGACTTAAAGGTTAATGCCTCCATAACTTATACAGAAGTGCAGCTTCCCTTTTAAGACATTTCCATGATTTCCTGGAGTTACCAGTTGACTATTTCAGGAAATGTAATTATCTGCTCTTTCAGACTCATCCAAAAGAGCTAATGGATATTTTCCTGCCACCTGTTTTAAAAAGATAAACAAAATTTATGCAGAGGTCAATAGGTCAGATTTAAACTTTGTAGTCTCTCTGTATAAATAATATTTTTAAAAAACTTTAGCAGTAATGCTATTTATTTTTTTTTTTAAATGAGATGAAGTGCACAATCCCGTAGCCTCCTAGGATCATCTGGGAGGCTATAGGATTATTTGGAGTCTGAGCCCCCTTCCTTGCAGCCTATACATTAACAGCCGCATTGGCTGCCCCCATTCCTGAGATCACAACTGGACTTCCGATATGGGAAAAGTGTGTATACTGAGGTCATGGTGGGGAAGATGCTGGGGCTGTGGACTTCTACCAGTTCCAGTCAGAGTCCCAATCCCTTTCCTTCTCCCTTGCCAGCCCTAAAATGGCCATCCAGAGAAAATACTTGGAGCAGCCATCCCTCATTCGAGGCATAGGATGCACATAAGCCTTCAGAGGCTTAGGTGTGTATGCTCCTCAATTGCACCATCAATCTTGATGTCAAGATATCATTACTGATTGGATGAAAAAACACAGTACCTTTTTAATAATCGGCATATCACTGAAACAGAAGAACTGGACCCTACCTCTTGGCTTTTGGGGATGAATCAGGAAGGTGTGTGCGTGTATCATATGTGAGTTCTGAAATACAGCTTTCCAAAGCTGTTCCTTGACTTTCTCATCCTACCCTTTTATCCTTTTCAGTATTTTATTACATTCTCCAGTGTGATGGGGGCATTCTTTGTGCCATGGTTTACTATTATCTCCCATTTAAAAAAAATCAAAATGATTGCACTGGTACTTTTTCAGATGAGTATTCTGTTATTGCTTCTGAAAAAGGCACGCTTGCCTAAAAGCAACCTGGTTGGTCTGTGGATGAAGCTGGCTGCCTAGTAACCATGGGGGAAGGCAGGCACCACTGTGGTTTTGTTTTCCTGTTGGATGAGACATAGCCAGATTAAAGCAAACTCAAAGAAGCTGCCTCTTTGTGCTGCTGTAGCTCCACGGCTCATTTGTTCTCAATAAGGGTACGGAGTTCCTGTCCAGGATTGCAGAGGCAAAGCACAGATCGCCCTCATTTTGCTTTGCTGCCCTACAGCAGCCGTGATGGAAAAGGGGTCTAAGCAAAGGATGGTTTTATGACAGTATCTTTAAGCTGAAACTTAAAGCTGAACTTAAGCTGAAACCTGCCTAAATCCTCCATGGATGCCTGTCTATCTAATGTAGAGAGAAAGTATGGATTCTAAATAAGGCCTACGTCCAGACTGCTCCAGATCTTAGTATACTAGAACTTATAGGAGAAGAAGGCATAGCCTTGCAAATAAAACTTTTGGGGCTGAGCAACCTGCCCAAAACACTAAGCTCAAGGGAACTCAATACACTAAATTCCTTTTAGTCTAAAGTTTTCAACACCAACAGAAAGCTATTTCACAGCAATCCCAGCTGCTAGTAAGAAAACTTGTTAAATAAAAAAAAATAAGGGGAAAGGCAAGGCATCTTGAGGGGCATCAAGAAAAGTTTCTGGAGAGTGCACTGGAATAGGGCAGGGAGGGCTGACTTGAGAAGGGTCACTCTTGGATGGCTTTTTAGTGACTGTGGTTTAGAAAGTAAGAAATGTCCATAAATAACTGGACCCAAGGGGTCCGACAATGACAAACCCAACAAAAGTAATTTGAGAAACCTTCATTTCCAGTGTCACTCCACTCCACAATCTACCTCCCCTCCTGTAAGCTGTTTTTAAATAAGTGGTGGAGCAAGGAAGTTATTGATGTCTTTTGATAATAATTGCTGAGTTAACCTCGCAACTGTTTTTTTAAAGTAATGTTTAATTGAGGAACATCTAGTTTAATTATAGTTGTTAGACTGATTTTCTTGTTTTCCCTTAAAACCTAAATCTGTCTGTCTGTCTGTCTGTCTGTCTTATTCATTCATTCATTCATTCATTCATTCATTCATATTTTAAAATTTACAGGCCACTTAATAACCTGACAGGGCTCTCTAATCATTTAATTATTAAATCAT